AAGCATGCCTCGGCCAACACATCTTTCCCAACTTGATGCATAGTGACAATTCGGTTTAGCTCGGCAGCATATGTCACGTGACACTGAACGATCAGACGGCGAAACGAGTCACCAAATTTATAAACGTTGGAAGTCAGCCGCACACGACTGGTCGAGTCGATACAAATCTGACGTGTTTCGCACATTCGTCTTGAGCAACTTCTGTTTTTTGATCTCATTGAACGGCAGTAAAAAATATGGCAGTCGCTGACATCTTTTTCATCATATTTCAGAGGCAGCTACTCGGTACTTCGAATACCCTGACTCAATCCGATGTCGCGATGTGGCAACATGACAAGATGGCTGTACGTCGAATGACACATCTACGACATTAAGGGATGATGGCCGGCACCCGACACTACTTGAATGTGTGTGAAGTACTTTTCAGAAGCGGGTACGGTCGGTGCACGATGGGCGTTGAAACTGATTGTTCAAAGAAACCGCCAAAACGACATTCTTTCTACTAGATGCAGCGCCTCCGCGAAAAAGAAAACAAAATCACCTCTTGACAGCAGGTGACAGTCCTGAAGATCAAATCGTCGTTTTGTTGACTTCGGTAGCGGCGCAACGGACCCCGCTGTCTAGCAGATTGAATTCAGCACTTCAGTTTCCGCAGTCTGAAGGATGACGCAGTGTTTTTCGTTTTTTCTCTGATCGGCGCTGATTGTCTTAATCAAAGAAGAAAATTAAGTAATGGATTTAAGCTGGCCTGACATCCCTGGTCTATGGGAATTGATTACTTTTCATTAGAAAATGAAATTACAGTGCGATTGTGCCAGTTCGCCTCTTCAATTCTCAATGGTAGTGGTGGCCATGATGACGACGAACGTTTGACAGGTCTGTGTTATGTTTAGTAATTTTTTTACGTGTTTTGTCTTACAAACCATTCATGCTAGCGAGCACTGTTTCCATCAGTCGCCTTCATAATGATTTCAACGAATAAACATAAACAATGGGAAATTCTAGGAAGCTTCTGTGACGGCAAAAGAATTTATGAAACTATAGGTACGTCGCTAAGACAAGTACTAGCAGCAATGCATCGCTATAGTGTCATCCAGTTATCTGTCACGTCGCAACTTATTAGATCGGATCATGATGATGATGACGATGTCGATGATGATGGTGGAGGGAAAAGAGACAGCGGCGCATGAGTCAAAAGTTTGCCCCGCACTTTTGTGGTACCCGATTCAAATCACATAAGCTGTATAAGTATTCGTTTATTAAGTGCTATTTCTTTTGAGCAAGGAACTCACCCCACCACGCTTCGGTCCAGCCAGTCAGAAAGACAAATGCAGTTTCTTGAGCTGCGAATAATAGAGTCAGCATGATGTTTGACTGTCGTAATTCCAAAGCAATCGAGATGTACGGCTGTGCTCTCTGATCATTGCTTTTCCTGCTGCAATTAGCCCTGAACCTTCGTATCTCTATCCAAGAACCAGCCAGTCAGTCAGTTCCGATGATCGTATATCCATTCGGATCGTTCAGATATACGTGTCAGATACTATCTCAAACGTTACCGATCCTACGATTGCGTTTGAACTTCGACACAAGAAACTCCGAACCCGGAGAAGAGCCCTTCCATACACTTACTCCAGGTTATTTTTGGCCGTCCCCTGGGCCTTCTGCCGGCCGGTTTCGCAAGAAACAGTTGCTCAGCTTTCCCTTCTGGAGGCGTTCGCAACACATGCCCAAATCTTCGCAGCTGTGACTTCTGAATCTGAAGAAGCCGTACAGCGACTGTAAACAGACTCTCACATATTTCTGTATTCCAGACTAAGTCGAGTCGCGTAGGGCTAGCTAGCTGCTTGTACCTCGGATTGACGTTTTTCAGTCATAATCAACGACTCATGACCGTAAATAAGCATGAGGATGAAGATCGACTTGAATACAAAGAGCCTTGTCTTCAGACTCAACTCTGCGTTAGTCACAATTATTCCGGCTAGTTGAGGCACAACGTCACTGGCTACTCCAGTCCGCCAATCGATCGTTTCCTCAAATTTTCCATGATCAGTGCACACGACTATTAGGTACCTGAACTTCTCAGTCTGCTTCACACCTTCTTCCTTTATCTTAAGAGCGTAATGTGCGGAGGAATGAAAAATCGCGGGGATTTACATTTTAGATGCGTTCACACGCATGAGGGCCACTTCGCAGTCGGCTGCGAACCTTTCTAGGGAGCACTGTAGATAAGCTTCAGAGAATGCCAATGAAACAAAGTCGTCTCGGATTGAGATGTTTTGAGGTCTACTAAACCTTTCTAACGAGGAATCCTTCAATAATCTTCACTTCTGCTACTTGTAACCGGGCTTACACACACTTGGCCAATATCGAGTACTCTGCTAATTCCCTCTAACCGCTCATTTGAGCCGGTACTTAAACTACTGTAATGCAGTCGATCCCAAGCAGTCGTTATTTCAACGCTTTACAACAAGGCCTGTTGTAAAGCCTGTTTTGTATTTTTGGCTGGCTTCATCTTCGCCTTTGCACAAACTTTGATTCTTCCCTCCCTCATAAAGAATCTCAGGCACTCTTTCAAAATGTTGGCAAAGACAGCTTGTCGCTGATCGAAGCACACAAACTGTCAGACCACGTTTGAAAATAGTCGTCTGTAACGCAAGTCTCTGCTCACTCATACATCTAAGGCGTATTCCTGTTGCGCACAGTTGTTTGTCGCTGATTAAGGGTTCCGATGATTATGATGATGTGGCAATGAACAAGCTGATAAATGGGATTCGACATCAGAACGAAGTTCAAGACTTAAGGATATAATTTTAGTATACATTGGTTTACCTCCGTAAATTCCATTCCATGCATTCGAAATTCTTTCTCTCAAAGTGTCCATGAAATCCGCTGTGGCATTGCATCTCCTCATACCTCTTTCTCATGATAACATGACATCAATCGACCGGCAAGTTTGCAAAACTTGGAGTATTACAACGGAAGTTTGACTGACGGAAGCGACGTTTAGCTTTATGGCGATTTGGATAAATTACAAATAGCTATATAATTTTGTCATGCAACGCTGCCTTAAAATCCCTCATTGGACAGCCATTCGTTACTACGATAATTAACCGCGTCTGAGTAAATAACAGTCAAACGATATTTCATGGTCATGAGTCTCTTTCGACGCATTACTAGATGAGGGTGCATGCTGAGACTCGTTACGTCGATCCGCATTGTCCATTTGCAGCGAGAGCGATATCTTGTTCCGCACAGCTGCATGACTCTACGACAACAACAAGAACAACAAGTTTAGCACCTTACGTTGATTATCAGCTATCAGTCGGGTCAAGGCGAACTGAAGCCACAAGAGACACTCGCATCTGACCGCCTAGTCGTACCTCTCGTCCATTCTGGTATGGCCACGCACGCGTATTCTCCTGTGGTCGCAATTGAACAGCATGTTACCCTCTTCTCGGTTGGTTGCCTCGAAGCAACGTGGAGTGAGTTCCTTGCTCAAAAAATTATTGGTTAAAAGAAGTTTTTCTCATTTTTTTTCTGATGCCGAAGCCGACCTCTTACCACAATGTCATGCGCCGTCTCCGTACGACTCGGCGTTGTCATCGTTGAGGTGACGATCAGCTGAACCGAAGATACTCGCTTCCCCTGACATCTGTCGAATATTAGATCGCTTTTTCTTGCCGACACAGAGTGATGCGCAGCGTGAGAAGAGGCTGCTTGCGAGTGATAAACGATTTCATTCTTCCGGCCATCGGCGTTTCAGTGCACGTCGACACCGGCGCCGTACCGCGCGTGTGTGAGTCCGCCGCCGCTGTCGTCCAGTGAGTGAACGAACCGAGTCCAATCGAGTAAAATCGAGTCGAATCGTCCTGTGTACCATGCCACTGAGGTGTGGTCGCCGCACCTCGACCTGCGTTCGTTCACTGCAAGTTCCGAAACCACCAGCACTCACGGTCAACCTGCAGGCATTACGTGGTTGATTTCTTTCCGGCGTTAGAAGGATTTTCTCGCTGCAGGTCATGAAGATTGGATAGCAGCCAAAGTAAGTAGTCTGGCTCTACTAGTACGAAGAACGACATGCGTTTTCATCAGTCGATATCCAGCTTTGACACGTTAAACGTTAAACACTTGGTTAATGAAACACTGGTTCTCGGTATCTAACAGTATCCTACCGGGGCTACGGCAAGTCCGCTCAGAATGACCGAAAGCCTGACGGATTCTGTCTGAATATACCAGCGAAGGGACCCTTATGTATGATGGCATTATTTGGACTTGGCCGTAAGTACACACTGTAGTTTATTGGCGTCGAACAGAAACGCATGCCTTAAAAGTTCCTCGCCAACATTGCGGTTCATCATTGCATCGTTACATTTTCTTTTGAAGGCCATTTCGCTAATGAGGATTAGCCATCTGCGTATTATGAATTGCCAGTGATCGCATTTCGGATTCGCGGTAAACAAGGCATTGGAGGTGGTTTGCATACTTTCTTAAGGAGTAGTGCTCCACAAACAGAATAAGTCGCCCCCCCCCCACCGCAGTGTAGAATTTCTTAATTAATTAACCTACCAGATATTTTTTCATGCTGTTGGAGTATTGGGGTATTACTCAGTTGCGTAAAGGAGGTGCGCCCTTGCTTAAAGTCAGCGTTACTCTATGCGATTTCATTTTTGCACAAATCGCAATAATGGGACAGAATTCTGAGGAGATTGCGACATGTGCTGATTATATTGAACGATCAGCCATCAGGTGGATAAAAGTAAAATGCAGCTACATGAGACACTGTGATCGAACAGCATGGCCAAGGAGATGATTGGCGGCTGTATACCAAGTTTATTTCTGATTTCAATACCCCGTATCATGTCTTGATGTGTGAGGCCGGCGACTCGTCTCAGAAAGCCCATTTCAGCTGCCTGTTCTCGGGAGTGAAGATTTTCAGTCAAGATCCATGACAGATTACCGTAGGTAAGCATGGGGAGGAAATTCGATTTGAACACCGAGAGTGTAGTCCTCAGGACCGAGCTCTGCTTTAGTCACAATGGATCGGGTTAGTTCACGCAGAACGCCACTGTATACTCGAATTCGCCGGTCGATTTCCTCTCAAATTTTCCAGCAGTAGTAAACACCACTCCGAATTATTTGAATTTCTCCACATGCTCCACTGTCTCTCCGCTAATCTGAAGTGAGCAACGGGCTGGAAAACGAAAATACACTAGGCTTTTCGTTTTAGATGCGTTCTCACGTGCAGTGCAGCTGTTCAATACA